AGAGCATATGAAGAAAAAGCACATTTGGGACATCCATTTTAAATGGATAATCAAATGTTGAATGGATAAAACTCTGGTTCATTGCAGAACAGGTAATCAGCTAGGAAACCCCACTTTAAATAGTTTAAGTCTTACTCATTTCCATGTATTCTGGAGTAAGTCCTGCAAAAGGTTCCAGATTATAATCTACTTCATAACGCTGTTTTTTCTTCATATGCTCTTCATAATCTACAGGACTTTGTCGTTTCAACTTCAAGTACCTTATAAATTTTTTCATTTTCCTAACAAGAATGAGGAAAAAGTAATTGCTTTAGATGGCTTATATGTTTTGTAAAAGCATTTAGAGATTTGGTTCTCCATTTTTAATATTTTATTGTTCTTTTAGAAATAAAGCATTTTCCCAAATTATTTGTAGCTGAATGATAGTATTCTGAGTTCTCTAGAATCTGAAATGGTATCCAAAGAATCCTGTGAAAATGCCCAAAACTTTTAATATGCACCCCCTCACTGTTTTTATGTCATCTGCACTATAATGAAGGTTTTCCTGAAGTTCCATTCTGTTTAAAGCAAGTTATGTTAGTTCACAGGACAGAAATAAATGAAAAAAAATAAATAAACAAATCTCTTTACTGTCTCCTAAAAAGACATGAAGACTTAATTACTGGTCTATTATAATCTCTATCAGTCTCTACAATCCTGTTCAAAAATATGGCCACAGAATAACCATGAAAACTTTTATTCTATGTACTTGATACTAATTTGAGTATTTTGTCCTATTCTACTTTATCTACCAAGTTGGTTGAACTTGGCCCCACTGTAGATTCATAATTCTTATTTATTAAGTCACATAATACAATACTTTGGGAAAATACTGTTGAAGTGCAGGCTACAAGATTTACTGATAAGAAAAAGAATCCTGAATTTAAGACAATTCACCTTTCACCTTTCAAGGAAAATGGAACAAAATAAAAAAAGCAAAAAACTAAAATTCCCTTGCCTGCCCCTTTATAATATTCTCAATCAATATAATATGGCTTAATTGTTTTAGAAATAAATTATTTGCAGAGAAAAATAGTCCTTCAGATAAGAACAAATGCATTGAACTAACAAAACAAATAATATAGTAATAAAACAAATGCACACTATTTTAAACTTTGGTGTATCCTCAGTCTAACATTTTCTTGCACTGCATGNTATCATTTCATTATTATTATCATAGTTAATTATATGTTAACGAATGTACATTTAATAACAATCTAAAACAATCTACAAAATACTAACATTCCTACTTATTAATCACCCAAAGTATCCATTTGCATTTTCTTGTTATTGTGGTCAACGAAAAAGTGTTTACTATTTATATGACATCTCTTCTCTTCAGACCTAAAGGAATTATACCTTTATAACAAGATCTAAACAAAAATTTCTTAATAAAATTTATAGGTCTTTTCGCCAAGTCCCAATTTACAATTTATAACCAAGTTACTTATAGTAGTTAAGGTTATCATTTCATTATTGTTATCATAGTTAATTATATGTTAACAAATAAACATTTAATAACAATCTAAAACAAAAGTTCTCAAGTCTTAAAGTCGTCAAGTTTGGAGATCCCTGGTATAGACAGAAGCTCATAAAACTGTCACAGAAAATACTTTCTCTTTTCAAAAATGGGGTTCTACTAGCTGAATTTTTGTGCCTTTGACTTTACGTGGTAATTGGAGGGGGGGAATGGTGTGACATAGAATCAAAGGGGGGAAGGCAGCCTTATCTACAGAAAGATGGCATTTTTCAATACATACAGCCTAGAATAAACACACTGAAAATTAAAAGAGACTTGATGAGATGCATGACAATTAAATATCCTAGGCACTGTCTAGGGAAAGCTGTTTCAAAGAAATGTCATTATATACCTGCATATTTGCACTTGATAGCCAAGCTCCATATCATCTTTTGGAGCAGTTCCTCTTTGAAAATCGCTGACATTAAAATAGGATAGTGTATGGTTCACGAAGCCATGCATGGTGCCACTCTCACTGTACATATACAGGTACACGAGGCGTGGAATGAAGTCAGATGTGAATGAGATCACAAATGCCTAAGCCACAAAAGTAAAGAATGAGCGCAGATATTCAGGCCACACTTCATTACATAAGCAGACTCAATTGTCTCCTCCCCCAGCAGGGACTGCCATGAATCAGGCTGGTTCAAACCATATCATTGGATCAACAGGCTAATGGTTTTCTTTGCACCATGGTGGTTTGAGATTCAAACTCTAAAAGTGCAGCAAATTAAGTAACTGAAATTGACTGGGAAAGCTAACATCAGGTGGAAAAACGGTTATTGGCATTTCAACACTGACATCCTTTTAATTGCAAAATTATTTCAGAAAACAGCCCCAAATTTCCAACATTGCTATTCACAATATTTTTGCTACACACATACCCCCCCCCCCCACACTATCAATAAACAAATACTGTGTGGGACACTGATGTTTTCATTATGCTGCATGCTGGGGGGAATTTTGAATCACTTTTGCGTTCATTGTTCTGAAATTGGGTGCTTTTTGTGCAAATGCTCCATTTAAAGGTTTTATCAAATGCACAAAAACTTGACAAAGAGTTTTATTTGTATCCAGAAATTTAATACTTTTTATCTTTCACAATTAATGTAAATCTTACACGAAATGTTTAGCTGTTGTTCTTAGGGCATATACCATCTCAGAAGAGAGTAGAAAGTTTAATATTTAGAATTACAGTGGATCTTTTCCATATGGATCCATAGAATTGCATAATTTTCTTTGGCTTTAGCGTACACAACTTTTTTTTAACCTGTGGGCTAGCCTGCCTGGCTGCAGGTTTTCCCAGTGATGCTTAAGGCAATTTGGAAGTCTTTATTGGGGACCTGATATCATTTCATTTTCTCCTTTTTTTAGCTGAAAATTGTGCTGCCAAAAATTGGCCATTTGGCTTTTCTGTCATTTTCCGTGGGGTGATCTCAGAGCTACAGATTAGATCAGAGGTGGGTTGCTGCCAGTTCGGCCCAGATCAGGTGAACCGATAGTAGCGGCAGCGGCAGGCTGTGCCCACCTGCTTCTACGCATGCGCAGAAGCATTACAAGCGCACACGAGCGTGCCCAAACCGGTAGTAACAAAATTGCCAACCCACCACTGGATTAGATGCCTGCTAGATGCTCACTTTTGTTTTAGGAAACGTCTTTATGACGTCAACACCTACAGAAAAACCAATTCCAACTTTCCCTTTTGACCTAATAGAAAAAGGACAAAGAATGCCATGCTTAACAAGCTGAGGAGCAAAACAAGAGAAGAATTAATGTTGGCATTAAGAAGTGAGAAAGCTACAGTCTGGAAACACAATGGACAGTCAGTGAAGGATCTGTAGGCCACACTGCCACGGAGCTGCTCTAGACCATACAGGAATAGGAAATGAAGACAAGGGATAAAGGAAAAGGAGGTAATTGATAGAAAAGATGAGCCTCTTGACAAAAGAGAAGCATTCTGGAGCATATGTGTGGAAAAAAATAAAAGTTGGAGGAGCTGAGGTTAGCCCAAGGGTCAGCCCATCTTTATGGCTGCTTTTCTAGGCATATTCACACTTTCCTACTTTAGCCGTTCTAGAGTAAACCTTTAAAATAGTTGAATAGAAATGAAAATTTTGTCTTCATATACTATTTACAGGGGGGAAAATACTTACATTTATGATCACAGCCAATTTTCCTACCCCTCTGAGGATATTATACCATATTCCTGGGGAAAGACAAGCAAGCTATTCAAAAGTATTGTCGCAAACACTGATAATAGACTCACCGATTTGGAAAGGACTATCAAGGTCATCTAGGCCAGGGGTTTTCAAACTCTGTCCCAGTGAACCCCTAAGGTTGGGGCTCTGAGAGAGAGCAGAGGCAAAAGTAAATGCAGCCATTGTTCAATTCTTATAATTTTATCCTTTGATCAGAGATTCCAGGATATTTTTTCTACAGCCTGAAAAAGTCTAAAAACTATTGATCTAGTTCAATCCACTGTTAAGTGCAGGTTCTACTTCTAAAGCATCTCTAACAGATGAATGTCCAGCATCTGTTTCAAAACCATTAACAAATGTTTCACCTAACAACAGAAATGTTGGGCTCAGCTGTGGTCTTAAGTTGAGGACTACCTGTAATTGCTTCCTAGGATCTGGTTTGTTAATGCATATATCACTAATACATCATATATAATAAATAATTTAGATATTATAAATAAATAATAGCAATGGTATTAACTTTTTTTCATCCTTTCTTTAGTTCAAAGTTTAAAGTGAAATATATTTATTTTAATATCTACTCAGTTTGTGAGTTCGTTTATTTCTAGATTAAAGTATATTCCCTCATTTCTACATTCCATTCTAAGGGGTAACATGGAACTTCTTGTCATTCCCCCCCTCCAATTCTCTGTTCTGCATTCCAGTTTTGCCTTTGAGAATCTTTTACTGTTTGAACAGGTTAGTGGATACATAGAAGGATGATTCAGTTCTGCTGGTAAATGATGAATTTGCTACAACCCTTTATTTGTGCTTTTCATTTAAGTCTTTAGCCTATTGAAGGGGCTGAGAATAGAACCAAGGGACACAGATTCTTTGGTAGTTACAGTGAAGTTTAGAATGCTTTTCCTAAGGATGTCAAATGGCCCCTTCTTTCTATGCCTGCTGGCATGAAGTGAAACCCTTAAGGAGAAACAATTTTTGTTCAATTTTTCATGCTATTTTCACTGATTATTCAAACATCTATAATTACTTGCATTCTTTTAGTAAAAAAATAAAAACAGGATAGAAATCAAGAGAAGAATAACATAGCTTTCCTAGCTGTTGAGATCAGATTGTCACAAATAAAGAACACTAGCTGGTATTCAGTGGTTATCTTGCACAAACCAGGGCACTCAATTTTCTGTTTTCTAACCAATATTTATAAATTATAGATATTGTATAAATAATTACTAACTTACCTATATCTTTAGCTCTCACTGCAACTGGTCTCCTAAGCTCAGTGACAAATTTCTTTGCATCCAGACGTATCTCGATGATATTGTTTAGTAATGCAAACAAGGGAGCCAATGGGAAGGATGCAACAAACAGGGTTACAAAACCAAACTGGATTACTGAAAATTTAAAAAGAAACTACTATCAATTACCAATTTTACTCTTGTAGAATTTGCTTTCCAAAACACAACCTCCCTGCAAATCAATGAATGCATACTACACATAAATTATATGTATTTTCTGTGTTTGAAATGTTATACTATTTGCTACTGGCTATTTTATATAAATGTACATATTGTGTGTGAGCATTTCTGGACAACATTTCTTTTATTTAACTG